TTTTTGAGACAGGGTCTCGCTATGCAGTTCAGGCTGGCCTTGAGCTCACTTTGTAGCCCAGGCTGGTCTCGAACTCGCAACAATCCTCCTGCCTCAGCCTCCCCAGTGCTGGGATTACAGGCGTGTGCCACCACGCCCGGCTACACTGTATTTTTCGATCACACTTTGTGAGTGCCCTGCCCTCCACTCTGGCTGGGGCTCCCCTGGCCCCCGACCTGCCTGTGGACGCTGCTCACATGGGCGGCCTGCTGGGCAGCAGCAGGTGGGAAGATGGAGACCGGACCAAGTGCCACACAGGCCAGGTGCCCGGCTCCGCACGCCCACGTCTTCCCAGGGTGACCGATCAAGGCTGATAAACACGGCAGCCAGGTTTGGGCTGGGGCTCTGTGAGCCGTCAGGACGTTACTGACACGCCCTTGAGGTTCGGTTCCGTGACTGTGGAATGGAGCACGCAGGGACGGGCTGGGGGGCTGCGTGAGCACGAGAGGGGAGGGCAGGGGGGCCACGCCTGACACTGCCATCCCCACAAGGCCGAGCGCCGGGTGCTGGAGGAGGAGCTGACCGTTCACCTCTCTGTTCCTGGGGACACCATCCTCATCAACAACCGCCCCGGCCCCCGGGAGCCGCCCCCCTACCAGGAGCCCCGGCCGCGCGGGAACCCGCCGCACTCCGCGCCCTGTGTCCCCAGCAGCTCTGGTGAGCCCTGCCTGGTTCCCGGCCCCGCCCTCTGCCAGCTTCCTCTGTGTCCCTGGCCCTCTCCGTTCCTGCTCTCTTCTCCTGCCTTCACCTGTTCTAACTCATTTCCTTACTTCCGTGTCCCGCGTCACTCGGCTCACTCCGAGTCCCTACGTGCCCCTGTCCTTCCGGGTTTCCCGTCTGGCACCGTAATCCCCAGGGGTCTCAGCCCGTCTTGGGCCACCCATACATTTCTCCATCTTCTCAGCTGTCCCCTCTCACAGTGTCTCCCTGGACTGGCCCTCCCTCTGTGGATATTTACACATACATTTGTCCCCCATCCACCCATGCATCGATACGCATCTATCCATCCATCCGTAGTCATGTCCGTCCGTCCATCCATCGATATCCATCCATCCATCGATGTTTTTTTTTTCAATCCATCGATATTCATGTGCCCATCCACCCGTCCATATTTACACATCCATCTGTCCCCCATCTGTCCATCCATCCATCTGTCCATCCATCCATTTGTCCATCTGTCTGTCCGTCCGTCCTTCGGTGGTTGTCCAGCCACTGATACTCATACATCCGTTGTCCACCCACCACCCGCCTGTCCGTTGTCCGCCACCCTCCTCCAGGTCCTGGCCCCAGCCTGTCTCTGTCTCAGCGCCTTACTCCGTGGGCCCTGGTCGGCCCTATTCTGGGTCTCCCTGTCTGTCTAGCCTTGAGTCTCATCCCTTCCCCGTGTCTCCCCCTCCTTCTCCCGACAGCGCTGCTGCTCTCCAATCCGGCCTACCGCCTCCTTCTGGCCACTTACGCCCGTCCCCCTCGAGGCCCGGGCCCCCCCACACCCGCCTGGGCCAAACCCACCAACACCCAGGGTAAGCCCCTTTGCCCAGCCCGCCAGCCCGTGCCCACTGGGGCCGGGAGAAGCCCTCAGCCACACACTCCTCTCCCACTGCGGCCTCTTCCGCTCTCCTGAGCTCCCGCAGGGCACTCCCAGGCCCTTAGCTCCCCTCTGCTGCTTCCTGCTCCTCCTGCAGGCGCCCCGTGAGCCGTCCTAGAAGGCCTAGGCCTCAGCCCTGCTCCTCCTCCTCTCCTGCCCCGTCTCTGTGCCTCTCCAGAGCCAGAGAGGAGCTGCGGGCAGCGCCCTTCCGGCCCCCGGTGACGCCTCCTTTATTCTCCGCTCTCTCTAGCGCCGCGAGGAGGAGGGCCTCACCCTGGGCGCGCGCCCTCTCCCCGTGTCCTCTCCACAGTCCCAGAGGTGAAGGCTCCCACCCGCCTGCCCTCCTGTCTGCTCCTCCCCTCCGTGTCACCTCTCACTGTGGCCCCTTCCCCAGGCCAAGCGGGCAGCTCTGCCCCTGTCTGTAGACCGCGTGTTGTGGGGACGTGAGGACACGCCGCCCTCTCCCCTCTGTGTGCCCTGTCTCTGCCTGTCCTTGAGCTTGGTGTGTTGGGCTGGGCTGGTGACCACAGCAGGGAGGGGCCAGGCTGCAGGCCTCAGGGAGCAGAGAAGGGACAGGAGGGTGTGGGGAGTAGGCCCCGCGTCGATGAGTGGATGAGGTTGGTGGCCGGCCACCCCCTTCAGGTGGGCCTGGGCCGAGGAAGCCCTGCAGCCGGACGCAGCTGCCTGGCGATCTCTTGGCTGTACTGGGAGAGCTCTAGAGGGTGTGAAGTTCCAGCTCTTCTCGCTCAAGTGTTCCACTGCTTCGAGCCCCTCTCCAGGGCAGCTGATCTCCTCGGGCGCCTTTGCAGGTGGCGCTGGTGGCAGGGATTTGAGGGGAGACTGCAGCGTAGACGTGGTCCCTCGGGCAGCTGGGAGCCGCAGGCCCAAGGGCAGAGCCTAACGCCTTCCGTCTTCTCTCCCCTCGCCTGCAGCCTGCAGTGGGGACTATATGGAGCCCGAGAAGCCAGGCGCCCCGCTCCTGCCCCCGCCTCCCCACAGCAGCGTCCCGCACTATGCCGAGGCTGACATTGTCACCCTGCAGGGCGTCACCGGGGGCAACACCTACGCCGTGCCTGCGCTGCCCCCAGGGGTGGCCGGGGACGGGCCCCCCAGAGTGGACTTCCCTCGGTCGAGGCTCCGCTTCAAGGAGAAGCTTGGCGAGGGCCAGTTTGGGGAGGTGAGGAGGGTCCGCCCCGCGCCCCTCGGCCAGAAGCCCGCGTCTGTGTCACGGCGCCCACTGAGCCTGTGACCTTCTGGAAATGACCTTTCTCCAGGTGCACCTGTGTGAGGTAGAGGACCCTCAGGATCTGGTCAGCCTGGACCTCCCCATCAGCGTGCGCAAGGGACAGCCTTTGCTGGTGGCTGTCAAGATCCTACGGCCAGATGCCACCAAGAATGCCAGGTGAGCCCAGACGTGGCACCTGGAAGGGAGGGCGGGGGTGTGTGCTGGACAGCGTGTCCCGGGCTCCTCGGCACAACTTCTCCCTGCTTGCGCTCCAGGAACGACTTCCTGAAGGAGGTGAAGATCATGTCCCGTCTGAAGGACCCCAACATCATCCGGCTGCTGGGCGTGTGTGTGCAGGACGACCCCCTCTGCATGATCACCGATTACATGGAGAACGGCGACCTGAACCAGTTCCTCGGTGCCCACCAGCTGGAGGGCAAAGCGGCTGAGGGGGCCCCTGGGGACGGGGAGGCTGCGCAGGGGCCCACTATCAGGTACCCCAAGACCGGTGCGTCCCAGACTGGAGGGGAGCAGAGGACGGGAACCAGGCGGAGGCCCCGAGAAGGGCCCGGGAGGAGGAGTGGGTGGCCGTGGGAGCCAGGGGGTGGCGGGGGGCGGAGCCCGCCATGAATCTACTTGCCCAGCCTGACCCTCGCTGCCCCTGAGCCCAATGATGGAGCCAAAAAATATGAGGTTCCTGCACCTGGCCGGGCCCGAGGGACTGCGTGGGCACTGCCCGCCTCGCTCCACACCCAGACAAGTGGCCTGGCCTTGGGAGGTAGCTCCTCACACCGGCAGGCGTGGTGTGAACCGGCAGGAGTCGGGGGTCCCCGTGACCCTGGTGACCCTGCCGGTGGCTTCTCCCTCAGCTACCCCATGCTGCTGCACGTGGCCGCGCAGATCGCCTCGGGCATGCGCTACCTCGCCACCCTCAACTTCGTGCACCGGGATCTGGCCACACGGAACTGCCTGGTTGGGGAGAATTTCACCATCAAAATTGCCGACTTTGGCATGAGCCGGAATCTCTATGCCGGGGATTACTACCGCGTGCAGGGCCGGGCGGTGCTGCCCATCCGCTGGATGGCCTGGGAGTGCATCCTCATGGTGAGAGCCGCGGAGGCGGTGGCGACAGCCGGGTGGCAGCACGGGCGCTGGTGCTTCCCAGCCGCGGCCGGATGTGGTCTCCCACCCAGGACTGAGCCACCCTGTGACTGGGGACCCAGAGAGTGGGGGCGGGGTGATGGGAAGGGTTGAGAGCCGGGAGTGGGGGGAGTTGGGGAGTGGAGAACGAAAAGGAGGCAGCGAGGAGGTGGAGGGGCTGGGAAGGCGCTGGGACGGGAGAGTGGAGGCAGGCAGCAGAGGACAAGGGGACCAGACGTACCTGGAGGGAAGGCTGGGCCCCGCAAGGGCCTGCTCAGGAGCTGAGTGTGCTGGGAGGACGAGGCAGGCAGCTTCTCCACAACCTTGCTGTCTGAGGTTCTTCTCCCCTCTGTTGGCCTCTCCCTGTGCCAGGGCAAGTTCACCACGGCGAGCGATGTGTGGGCGTTCGGGGTGACCCTGTGGGAGGTGCTGATGCTCTGCAGGGCCCAGCCCTTTGGGCAGCTCACGGATGAGCAAGTCATCGAGAATGCCGGGGAGTTCTTCCGGGACCAGGGCCGGCAGGTCGGAGCAGAGGGAGGGCCCTGGGCCGCCTTCGGGCAGGTGGGCGGCCGGGAGGGCAGGGCTTGTCTTCCTGGAGACTAAAGGTGTTTGTTCCCTGCCGTCGTCCCTGCTGTGCAGGTGTACCTGTCCCGGCCACCCGCCTGCCCCCAGGGCCTGTACGAGCTGATGCTGCAGTGCTGGAGCCGGGAGCCCGAGCAGCGGCCGCCCTTTGCCCAGCTGCACCGGTTCCTGGCAGAGGATGCGCTCAACACAGTGTGACTTTCGATAGCCAGCTGTCCCTCGAGAACTAAGGGAAGCCAGCGACACTAACAAGAGGGGCCAGCCCTGCCCCTCCCACAGCCCATCTGAGAGCCAGTGAGACTGGGAGGCGCCCACCCTGGACGCAAGCTCACGTCCCCTTCCCGCTCCTGCTTCTGGCTCCTCCCTAGAAGCCCCTGCTGCCCACCCAGCTGGCCCTGTGGATGGGATCCTCTTGGACTTGCCCAGCCATCCCTGAGGGGAAGGGGCAAGCGCAGGGCAGACACTGGACGTGGCCCACTGGAGCTCCGGGCCTCACTGGACGACACTGGCCCCTGGGGAGGTGGTGCTGCCCCGCCTCCCTCTTCCTGTCATACACTGGACCCCGCTGGCTGGGAACTGGGGGGAGGAGGACACAAAAGGACAGAAGATGCTCCCTGGTGCTTATCCCTGGAATTGGACACACTGGACCTGGGGGCGATCGCTGCCCCATCCTCCGATCCTCGGGCTTCCCCACTTCCCACCTGCCGTGCTGTAGCTAGGACTTCCCTAAGCCTGTACATTTCTGTGGAGTAAATATTGGGGTTAGGGGGAGAGAGGGAGCGGTGGCCTGTGGCCGTGGGGTTGGACATCTGTATCGTAGCTACCACATTGGTTTTTCTGTAATCACTTGGGGTTTGTACATTTTTGGGGGGAGAGACACAGATTTTTACACTAATATATGGATGTAGCTTGAGGCAATTTTAATCCCCTGCGGTAGGCAGGTAATAATAAAGGTTGAGTTTTCCACGGGTGTGAGTGGGTCTCTGCGGGTTTTGGTCACATCTGCCTCCTGCCTCCTCCTCTGGCCCCATCGCTGCTTCTGCCATCCCCACACCTATGTGGTCTAGCACAGCGGGCCCCGCAAACGCGTGAACATTCTTTTTTTTTTCTGTCTTTTTGAGACAGGGTCTCCCTGTGCAGTTCAGGTTGGCCTTGAGCTCATTTCGTAGCTCAGCCTGGTCTTGAACTCACAACAGTCCCCCTGCTTCAGCCTCCCAGAGTGCTGGGATTACAGGCATGCGCCACCACGCCCAGCGCATGAACGTTCAGACTCAGGAACCAGACTCGGCAAGGTGCCCGCTTGGGGCTGCTCCGACGGTGGCCTGTGCTTGTGAAGAGGTCTGTACACGCTTGGCCACTCAGCCTGGCTGGCTTCCAAGGTCAGTTCCGGGAACCCATCTTCTGCAGAGGCTCCGCCCTGCCGGCGGACAGCTTGCTGTCACTGACTGCAGCCAGGAGAGTGGGCCTCACAGAACTCTGAAGTGATGGAAGCAACCTGTTATCTCCATCTGTGCCGTTCAACAGGTGGGCACTAGCCTCCCCCGCTGAGCGTGTGAAATAAGGCGAGTGGGACTGGGAAGTGGACTTCATTTCAATTTAAACGGCCAGCAGGGGGGAGTGGCTACCACACGGCACAGCACAGCCTGTAGAGCAGTCGTGGTGACCTACGGCACACGTGTTATCCTGGCACACAGAGCCTTCTTGGTCCCCGTAAGAGCCAAGTCGCCCGGCAGTTGAGCGTTGGTAACAGTGCACATAGGGGCTGCGTGCATGCTGGGAAAGGAGCAGCGGTGCCAGGCGATGACGTCCCGAGCTGCGCCTCATTAGCTGTGACTCATGGGAACTTTCACAGTGCCCGCCAGTATTCAGGTTTAACTGCAGTGTCGGCACTTTGCCATAAATAAGTGGGTTTGCGGTTGCACTTCTGATACTCAGTCTCTAAAAGGTTCACCGTCACTGCTTTAGAGTATGGGGAACCATGACAGGACCTACCCAGCTCCCCCTTGCCTGCTCCCTTCAAAAGAAGCATATGGCCTCTTTCAGGTTTACAGACACAGAGGTTTCTTCCAAAGTCAAGCATGGTGGTACACACCGATAACTAATCCCAGCACTCTGGAGGCTGAGGCAGGAGTATTGCCATGGGTTCAAGGCCAACCTGAACTACATGGTGAGACCCTGCCTCAAAAAAACAACAAAGAAAGCTTCTTACAATGATACCATTGGACCGTATACGCCATTTTGTGATTTGCTTTTCTCTCCCTGTTGATCAATCATAGGTAGCTCAAGTATGCATACAAGGACTTCCTAAGGACTGTCCAGTATTGTACACTGTAACAATGACCCACATTTTACCTAAGGAACCCCCAGTGTTATACATTTGGGTATTAATAAAACAACAAAAACACTTCAATAAACATCTTTGCACATATATTTCTGTACCCATGTGGGAGAATTCCAGTACGATACACTCTCACAGGTGGAGTTGCTAGGTTAAAGGAGAATCACCTTAAGATTGTTAGGCATAGCAGTCTCATTTTATATATATATATTTTTTCTATATGTACATATTTATGACAATGTGAACTTAAAAATTAGGCAGAGTAAGAGATTAACAAGAATAATTAGTAATGAACCAGACCTTTTTTTGGGGGGGTACCAAGAATCAAACTCATGACCTTGCACTTGCCAGTCAGGCTCTGTACCGCTGAGCTATATCCCCAGCCCTAATAATTAGTAATGAAAAGAAGCAACTGGAGCTGGGGTTTTAGCTCAGCAGCACAGCGCCTCCTGGCAAGTGCAAGGTCATGAGTTCGATTCCCGATACCGGAAACCACGCCCCCCCAAAAAAAAGAAAAAAGAAAAGAAGCAACTATAACAATATACTGTAATAAAAGTTATTTACACTTTTATTTACTTTTGGAATTTTCTGTTTAATGTTCTGTTGTCTGTGGGTACCCGAAAAACTGCAGACGGGGTGGAGCTATCATTTCATTTGGAGCGTCCTCCACAAAGGCGTGTTAGTAAGGGATGGCTGCGGCAACCTCCTGCGAGGCTTGAGTGTGCTCGACACCTGGCCAACACAAAACTGCCAAGCTCTAACTTACTTCATCTTTTACTGTTTCATTTCGGATATTTTTGTTTCTTTAACCAACTTTCTTTAGTTTCAGATGAAGTTGACAGTCATTTCACCCCTTTAAGATACGTATAATTTTGTTGGCTTGTTTCTTTTGCCAATCTATTATGTTTCTCTTTCCTCTGTTGCTCTGCAAAAGCTGCCTGCATCTTGTTTTTATGAAACATTTCTTCCCAAGTCGTGATTTGTCTTTTTAACCTTACTTATCAGCTGCCTTTACAAAGCTTTGTCGGTTTTGTGTTGTGCTGGAGTAATCTTAAACACTGACTGCTAAAGAAACGGAACAACAACACCAACAACACACACACACACACACACACACACACACACACACACACGAGCTGCAGAGGCGGCAAAGTCTCGCACAGACCCCACATCCAGGTCGCTGCGGATGCTGTCCCACCCTGCGTGGCTCCGCCGCCTGGCCACAGTTGCATTTCTTAGCCTCCCCCGGCCCGGGAGTGAGAACAAGAGTTTGATTCAAGAATTTGGGGTAAGTGTGTAGCTCCGGTCTTGGCTGAAGAGTCCCCCCTCACCCCCCTTTTTTTTGGTCTTTTTGAGGCAGGGTCTCGCTATGCAGTTCAGGCTGGCCTTGAGCTCACTTTGTAACCCAGGCTGGTCTTGAACTCGCAACGATCCACCTGCCTCAGCCTCCCGAGTGCTGGGATTACAGGCGTGCACCACCACGCCTGGCCTTTTTTTTTTTGTCTTTTTTTGAGACAGGGTCTCGCTATGCAGTTCAGGCTGGCCTTGAGCTCACTTTGTAGCCCAGGCTGGTCTCGAAAGTTTTCCTTTTCCCTCTCTGAGAAACCCATAAATCAAATCAGAGCAAACAGTGGGTTTCTTCTAAACACTGCGGTTGTCTCCCGCCTGCGTGCGGCCGGGCCGTGGAGGCGGCACCGGGAAACCTGTCGGGAGCGGACTACACGAAGGCGCCCCGGGCTTGTCGAACCTTGACGCGTGAAAACGCTCTG